ATATATATATAATCAGTTGCTTTAATCAGATTTGATAGATAAGATGAAAAAATGATATATATTATTCTAACCATTGATTTTAGATTTCTATATATAAATTGTTGCAAAATTATATTCACAATTAACAAAAAAAATGAACATACCATAGTTGTAGATTTATTTTAGTGTTGTCATTCCATTTTATAGATTTCAGGGCAAAATCCACTCCAATGGTGAGTTTATAATTGGGAGAAAATGTACCTAGAAGATAAAATAAATGTTGTCTTGTTAAGAAAATTTACCCGGATTACCATAGATATTTAGCTAACTAGCCTGTTTAAATGTTACACTGATACTGTGATATGTGAAATAGTTTACATTTACTTACCTTCTGTATATCGGCGTATGATTGAGGTCTGCAATTAAAGGAAATAAATGATTTACTTAATTGTTGTGTAATGTAAAACAAACATCTAAAATTTGTCTTGTTCATTTACTTCCAGAATATTAGAAATTTTCAACTAAGTAACTGTTGTCAATCAATCATTCATCATACCCCACCCTCTTTCCACCCCCACCCACAGTCCTAATTCCAAGTCCAGAGGGGTAAATTACCAACACAACTGGACATCCTGTGAATAGCAGTGTTATTTACTGCAATGTATCTGTTAAACCGGGCACTCACTCCGGTCCCTGAAAGCACTAGAAGACACGATGTATCGTCATTAAAAATGATCAGTTGCGTGCACGTCGTGGCGTTGCATTCTTCATAGAATCGCGTCGGCCGACGACCGTCGGGTGCAGTTGTGCCCAGCTTTAGCAGACGGCAAAATATTTTGTTGTTTAAATTTTTAATTGAAAGCTAACAACTTAACAAAGTGAGCAGTGGCGACGCCAGAGTCTGAAATCTGCGTGGGCAAGTGAGGGGCAACGTAAAATGTTGCTGGGATGAAACCAGGATTTTCCCAACGGGCCTGAAGTGGGCATGGTCAGGCATCACTTAAAATGTTTTGAAAGTGGGAGATGGGCCAAAGCCCCTGAAAGATATGACAATTTAGTAGTTTTAGAGGCTTACTAATTTTATAGGTAGATAGTCTACTAATATGTAGAAAATACATATCATATTTTTTATCCTTACGAATTATGGTTTTTCTTCTTTTTTTGGGGCGAGGGCAAGGAAATTATCTGGGGGAAAGTTCTTCCCCTCACTCCCACCCCATAGCGCTGCCACTGAAAGTAAGCAATCTCAATATTGAATGAATGTCCAAATTTAATAGACCCGTATAACCATCTATATATCTCTGAATTAAATATAATACTAGAAATATCTAGACCCATTAGACTTCCTTGTTAATAATTTTATTTGAGTCATTTCCAAAGTAGAATATTCAATGGTGTTATTATCAGTGATACTAGGTCAGACGGAAGCAGTTTGGAAGTTCAGGCTGATCCAACATCATGGGACCAAGTCCAGTATTCTGTCTAACCAATCACAACCGCAAGTGCTTCCTCACAGGAAAATACACCTATAAATACCATCATCTGTAAACACCATTTCACTGATGTGTTCAATCGATTCAGAAATCCACCAATCAAGAATTTCATGGAAGATAAGAAGCGCAGAGATGGCTATCATCCATTGAAACAAATTCTTACCTTTCCTGCAAGAAAAAGTTAAAAATAATTAAAGTCAATAACTTATTTGGGAAATATAAACTATCTTGCATTTTGATTGTCATTTTTGAAAATTTACTAGCACATTTAATGACTAACAAAATTAACTATTTCACATTATAAATCATAATAGATTAAAGATATTAATACCAGCAAATGCAACATGAGAATTTATACTTCAAACAAAGTGAAATATCATTGACAGTAGGCCTACTAACAAAATAATCTTAATATGTATCGTAATTTTAGTAGTTTGTGAGTGTCAGGCACAAGCCACGTTTACACGGCAGAAGGTCATCATGACGGTCGCGTTTATCTGATGATACTGGTCGTGTAAACGGTGTTAGTGACGAATGTTACTTATCTGATAAAAACGGCCATGTAAACATGGCTTTATATAGTTTTGTCAGTCAGTCTGCAAACGCTTCCCTCGAGTAAATTCTCGAAAAGTAAACAGCAAGAAGTATTATTATTATTTTAATAAGTCTTTATTGAAATAAATATAACCAGGTTTACGCTGCCTTTTGCTATCAGATAATTAATGGTAATACCAATGACCTTGGGTCGAGCTTCTACACGATAAGTTGACTCCGAAAACTACATCGCTTGTACCAGGAATAAAATGATTAGAACTGACCTGAAAAAAATGTGTGCATTGCTGTTTTTTTAAAACTCTTTGCCAAAAAATTCTTAAAATGCATGTATTAAGAAAAGCAAAATTTTTAACTACTACTGCTGTGTTTTGAAATATTTGTAAAAAATAATAATAAATTTGTATTTCACGCTGTTTATTAACAGCAACTTCCATGATGACTGACACAGCTGTTTTGCATAAAGAACATGCGGATGACCAAAGTTAACTAAGCAGCGATATAGATTATTGGAGTTACTGATCCGTATTTGGAGCTAACACTGTTTACATGGCCAGTTAACACCAGATAAATTCCTTTATCACGATGATCTTCTGCAGTGTACATGTGGCTTATGGTGATTAAGTTGTAACAAATGAGTAGGTACAGTATGTGTGTTTTTTGTATTATAGGCCTAATCAAAATAAATAACAAGGTCACAAGTTTCTGACAAGTAGGGGAATTTCTAAAAAATTGGCAGAGTTTCTAATAGTCTTGTGAGCACCGTTGTAAAAACCCATCTCTTGCAAATTTCCAATGTTGCATGTTTTTAGGAAAGTATAATACTGTAAATACTCCAAGTATTGAAATACACACCATTGTGTTGGAATTCAATATTTCGACATTAATTATGTCATCATGACATTATAATTAATTTCTGAATATTGAATCCCAACATGATTTTATATTCTCAGATTAATCAGTGGCACTTTCAGTTTTTGCAGTTCTTGCATGTTTTTAGTGCTGTATTATTGTCTCCCTTGAAGATCTAGTAGTTAAGAGGTATCACTGTGCAGCAATATACAATAGGCAATGTCTATGTCTTTTATACCAATCTTTAATTCTGATTGGCTGTTATTGTAGGTACATATCGGATTAGATATGGATTGGATTTGGACACACCTGGATTAGGACAATAACATCTAATCAGAATTAAGAATTGGTTTTAGTCTGGTGTAACAAAAGCCACTGCCAATAAAACAAGCTGCACACCTCTCTGAAATAGTCTCTCTAACATATCAGGATCAAGTACCTATCAGGATGCAAATAAATGCACTGACAGAACAAGTACATGACCTACAGTTATACTACTTTGTATTAGAATATTAAATAATTTCAATTCTAAAATAATTTAATATTGGTCTGAAAATAAGCTTTAAAATACTGAAAGCTTTTCTTAATCAAATATTTAATAAGATGATTAAGATTGCACTTAATAATTGAAGGTACAGAACTAAATAATTTAACCTCAACCCTTCTCTTATCAATTCTAATCTTTTGTAGCCTAGCCTATTCATATAGCACCATTGGACAATACTCCAGGGTTATGTTGAGGCCTCTTTCCTCATCAACTTACCTACACCAAATTCTCCAATTACAAGAACTTTGTATAGATGTTCTTCAACATTCATTGCATTTTCCTCCGAAGACATGGTTCCTTAAATTTCAATCAAGTATTTTCACTGATCAATCAATCATTTTATTTATAAATTCACCATGGATCTTTGTAAAACCTTTGGTAACATCCCGGTTTCGTCAGATCCTGTGTGTTATCTGTAGTGTTATGTTGTATAGCGAAATCAGTGGAGCAGTCAGCTGATCATCCACGGCCCAAAATAACAATCACGTGATATGCAATGTTTATCTTTTTTTGAGACATACCATTTTTGATGATGGGCAATTTAATTAAACTATTTTTTAAATGTGGGTGTTTAACTGGTGTATTTCATAGAAAATTGTATTGTAATGTAACCAGAATAAAATTTTAAATATTTTTATAGCCATAGTCGTGTAATATGGCGTAGTTTTGTGGATTTAAATTAAGTAATGTAAAATTATCGCCCTTAATTATCGCTCGAAAGTTGAGTTGTTGAGGTGGTGGGATTGTGATATATCTGACCCAAAATGTACTAGGCTAGGCCTAGCTAAGCATAGTAATATGTTTTTGTTTTTTTAAACTAAAAAGCATGCTATTGTATTGATAAGTTGATGGCCGGATCACATACTGAGCATGCTTCATGGCATTGCGTCAATCAAACCCTTCTCTTCTCCCCAAAAATGGGCCCTGGATGGATAAGTTGCCAGGACTGTCGACTCTACTACTACTACTACTAGGCCTAGGTTTAGGCCAGACCTAGTGAGTGGGCCTTGGTAGGTCTAGCCTACCACTAAGTATAAATACTTCATGTCCTCGGGTGTTGAATTCAGTCGGAGCAGAGGCCTAGGCCTATCTTAACTAGACATCTTGTATTGTACCACCATCAACCAGCCCAATAAATAATGGATATGCCTGTCTGTGTCTATAATAATAATATTGTGTTGTGACATTTTTTATTTTGCTTTCACAGATGGCAAAAAAGTGTCTGTTAAGTGTAGCTCAGCTAAGCTGTAGGCTGTCCGCTCCATATCATGGGCTGCTGACCACTCTAACGCAACAACGAGGTCTTTGGGGCATGTTAAACGCCATCTTTAATAAGTGAGAAAATTGTACAAATAATTTTTTCAAGCCAGGAGGCAAAAACAGATTTGATATGCCATATAACTGATTTTTCTAAAACACAAAAAGGATATTTGACCAAAAAACTCGGTACAGTTAATGAGACACAGATTTTTAAATATTTAAAAACTGGGGAAAAAGGGGCGTAACCACCCTTTTTCCACCAGTTTTTAAATATTTAAAAATCTGTATCTCTTTAATTTTTCCTCTAGAGCCTGGCATTTAAGTGAGTTAGTATACAAATACAACATACTGTAGGATTGTTCTAAATTTTTAAAACTATAGTCTGCTGGTTAAACATCAAGGTAGTGAAGTCAGTAAACCCATAATATTAACAAGCAATGGTAATCATTTCCCAATGTTTATTTATTAACAGAATATAATTGTATTTAATTATTATCATAGCACAGGAATGCTTTATTCATTTCTGTTATCTATCTGTGAGTTATTCTTGGTCTACCTCCTTTCTTTTGCATTCTTGATGTGGGGGAGTGACATGAATAGGTATGAAATAATAAAAAATATAATTCATTGTGCCATTCATCATTACTTTATTTTCCTCATTATGTAGGTTTGACCAAAACAGAGTGGATGAAGTCGGACCCGACCGTGCTGCAGCTGAATGGTTGCTCCGTTGTGGCGCAGCTGTAAAATTCAACGGTTATGAAAAATGGAACGATGACTATAACACGTTACCAATGGGAGCAAAAGATCGCTACCGCATCGAAGCTGTTGATGCTACCGACTCTAGTATCATGCACCTTGGTTTTGAATATTTCAGTAAGACTTTTACAACGAATTATATTCAACTAGCATGTTATATCAGTTATTATTTATTTATTATATTTATACATTTCAAATCAAAACCAACAGCAAAAATTAATCGCCACTTACATGCTTGAAAAGGCACAGACAAGATGCAGTTTCTTTCCTAGATTGGCTTCCAAAGTTTTGTTTGGTGTTAATAATATATAAGGAAAGAGAAACAAAACTGCATTTAAGTTTTTTTTTTTAATGACAAAACAATATTGGATTGTTTTTTTTTATTGAATTAATTGTGCCATGAAATGCTGACACATAGGACTGAAAAACATCATAAAGCAAAGTTCATAGAATATTCAAACAATACATAGACTATGATTGATTTATATACATCACATGACTTAGTTATTTGCACTTGAAACTATGATCAAGGGCTTATATTTATGATATGAATATCTTACAGGAGGATTGGAGAAGATGAGGCGTTTGAAACTGCACCATGCAACATATATTACAGATGAAAGTATGCACAAACTAGAAATATTAAAAGACTCTCTTCAAGATCTACAAGTAAGCAGCTGTGGTGACGTATCAGACAAGGGTCTGATATCACTTCATAAGTTAAGGTAAACCATTGGTAAAATATTTGTAGTAGTAAATGATACATTTCTCTGTATGTCACCCTCAATTACTACGCTCCTTAATAAAAATGTCAACCTCCTCACTGACTACACTACTTCATATGGAACGTCGCCCTCTCTGACAACACTATTTTTTACTAAAGGTAACTATCATTAGGCGTATTTGACTGGTCCTTTTCCGAGGAGTGATTTACTACTCGGGGTGTGCTCGCGGTGCTGGTTAAAAACAGCAAGGAGTTTGAGCTGCTCTTGCGACCAGTCGAATATGACGTGCAGTTTAAGTAGAAAGAGCTGCTCAAAACAGACCAGTCAAATACGCCTATTGATATATTCTCAAAATGTCGCCCTCTTTGACAATACTACTTCATAAGCTAACTCCCTATCCAGACTATCAAATTTTATTTGACAAAAACATGTGACATGCCTAAATATGGTCATGATGACATCACATCATGACCACATATAGATCATGACCATATATGCTCAAAAAGAGTTATCCTTGGAATTGCGCTATCATTGTATATATGTGTTTTTAAATGTTCTTGTTGTATTTCATGTGATATGAGATTTTCCGAATAAATTCATTCATTCAAACACAAGATGAGTTTTATTACAACCCCCTAATCCCCTCTAACCCCCTGTCCAAAATATAAATTGTACTGTAATGTGGCTGTTGTTTGTTTAAATTATAACACATTGGTCTTTTAATTTTCAAAATCTAGCAAGCTCCGCTACTTGTTTCTCTGTGATCTTCCTGCAGTCAAGAATATGGATACAGTGTTGAGTACCCTCAGAATTGCATTACCAAACTGTGAGGTACGGTATCTCTCATTGGAGGGAAGGAAGGATCTGCGAAAAGAACTATCCAAAGACAGAGAACTTCTCCGATACATCGAGGAATCAACAGCCAAATGAGGGAAAGATCTCTTAATAGCTTTTCTACAGTGTGCTTTACTTTCAGTGGTGTATCTAGGAGTCTGTAATTGCCGGGGAGGTGGAGGGGGTGTGGGGCGTGAAGTGGCGATGCACTAGCACACAAAATAAGGTGATTTGAGGTGATTTTTTACTACCAGATCATGATTTTTATTTTGGTGGGAAACGGGTGGGGGAGTATTTTTATGGAGGGTGCAACTCAGCTACTGTTTACTTCCAGAATAACCCATTCTAGGAATGTGAACTTGTTTAGGGTACAAAATATAATAGAGCAATAAAATGGGAGTAATATTAAATAGGGTTGTCAGATTATGGACTAATATGACAAAATATGCTCCCTTCAAGAATACTGTGTTCAAAGTGTATGAATCATTAATTAATATAGAACGTTTTTGCAACATTCGTTCTGGTGTGCAGTTTTTGTAGTTGAATAACTACTTTTCGTTGGGAGGCAGAGGGTGTGGTGTGATACTTGTGTGTGGTGTAGCAACATGTAAAAGTGCCTGGCATGACAAAGTGTTGTCATCTACAAGAATTTTATTGTATACCTGTCTTTCTGATAAAAATTCATAGTTTGAATATCACTCACAATAATAAAAACCCAAGACAATTTTTTTATGGCCTCTTAGAATGTATTTTCAAACAGGACATCTTCAATTGCTTTGATGATGCCATTTTTTGTGTTCTTGTGTTAATAAATATCTCAAAAAGAGTTTTGCTTTACTTATTGTTTTAAAAAGTGTGTTCAAAAGTATTAGTGCACTGCACTCTGACACAAAGCGCGAGTACATTAATACAAAAAAAAGGGCTTTAATCTTATTAAGTTGTAGGGAAAAGACATTTTTATCAATATCTTTGCCTTCATTCCTCCAGGATATGAAAAGGTAAAGGTAAGCCTATTGAGAGAGCAGCTTAGCTCAGTCGGCTAATCTGGTGGTAGCCGTTGTGTGTGCGCTGAACCATGGAGACCTGTAGGTCCCTGGTTCAATTCCCATTGTTGCATCTCCCTGTGTTTCAGCTAGAGGGCTGAAATACAAGTTACAATAGCGCAGTCTTTCGGATGAGACGTTTAAGCCGTTGGTCCCATGTGCATTATGGCCCATGTGCATGTTAAAAAAACGCAGTACACTCTTTGGAAAAGAGTAGGGGATTGTCTCCCGGTGTACTGCCCAGTCACCACCAGAGAAGTACGTCCCCACTGGAAATAAGTCTTCTTCTAGACTTTCGTGGGCTATCTTTGGTGTTTACACCGAATAAATCCAATCCAATCCAATTATTGGCGATTACAAGCTCTGAAGCCTGGTTTCAGTACAATTGGTACACGTTATTGCTTACAGCTTTTGGTGATACTGATTGGTTGGTCGAATTGGGAAGCCTTCTTGATTGCGTCTGAAAACACTGTGGCGACAGTATTGCGATTATCACATGTGGCTAGCAAAACATGTTAATTTCGATTAAACGAGTTCGATGAAATGAAACAATTCATCACGGAGATCAAATGAGGTATGTTGTGGCGAAATGGTTTAAGTTGTCGCACAGTAAAGTATTGAGTAAATGAGCTATAAAATATGGGAGCTCAAAAAATTACCTAAAATTCCAAAATTGTTTTTCACTATAGATCAACAGTCCCAAAGTATTAGTTCTGGAAGTGGTTAACAAATTGTTTATTTAACATTATTTTTCATAGTTCATTCTATTAAACAATAATGTATGCACAAATAACTTTGAAAGGCAATTACTCATGAAAATCATGTTTATCTTGACTCTAAGAGTACTGTACTTTCACTTTCCAATAACTTAGGCTGGAAATGTCCAATTTGAATGAATGACCCCACATTTTAAGATCACATACTTAGGTATGTGAAAATACCAATAACTTGAATTTCAATTTTTGCTATAATTATCCATTTTGCCACAACATGCCTCAATCAACTTTAGCTTCCGAGTCAGTAATAGACTGGGCATGGCTTAAGCCTTTTATTCCAAATATGGTATCTCATTTAACGAAATTGAACATGATGCAAAGCAACTGTGTTCAAAGACAAAATGTACGAAAAACCAGTGAAAAACTGAGAACTACTCCGAGGAATGGTCTTCTCATCTAGGAAGACATCTGATAGCTTATATAAAATTAATCTCTGTGGCAATGAGCTAAACTCTGTTTCGAGATATATCTTGTGCATATACTAACTCAGGATTTAAAAGATACTCAAGATATTAAGCGAATATTGATCCACAAGTATAAGAGCAAATATATTAAGTCGAATGTTCCAATGAAGTAAAAAGCAGTCTATTCCGCTCATATAGTGCACTGTACTGTAGTAGACTTTGGGCCAACGACATTTTACGACAACGATACGATACAGATGCGCGCAGTGTTGAAGAATATAAACTATGTGATTATATCCTGTCGTAATCGTGTCTAGTGTAAATGTGGCTTAATATTACAGAGCTTCAAGTATGTTATAACAATACATAGAAAACTCCTTGGTCTGCCTACTGAGGCATGGTGCTATAGTCAAATGTTTGTCTTGAATAATGTACAATTTTTCTATGAATATTACAGAAAAACATGCTGTTATATAATTTTATGTGTAATTGGAAAAGAGTACAAACAATTTAGTTAAAACCGTTTATCAGTACTGCCTTAGAGAATCAGTGCTTCATTCATAATAGATGACAATTCTCAGGGTTTAGTGGATAAAATATCTTTTTTATTTTTATGATGCTCTATTCTGTTTTTTTTTTTCTTGCATTTGTAATGTTCTTTTTTTGTATTTTGAATTTTATATGGCTTTTGATTGCTGAAATAAAGATTTAAATAAAAAAAATTATTAAACATTCCAAAATTGAGAAAACTTCCACTAAGCGGATTGTCCTCTGTTGATCCGACAAGAAAAGGGAACTAAAAAAAGATTGTTTCTGATGGACTACGTTCGAATTACAGCAAACACAGGCCACCTATAACATGACAGATCTAAATACTACTAAAACTAACCCATCCCAGAATTCCTGTTCAGTAAAACACATTAACGTGTAGCGTCGCATCTGTAAAACATATTAATTTCACCTTTTAGAAGCTAAACTTGATGTCTCTTTTGTTTCACACACCGAAGATATATCAGACCTAAATATACAATCGTTTTTAATCGTTTCACTTTATCGTGTTACATAAAGCACATGTTTAGTGGGCTGGCTGACTAAAACGGCCTACGGAGGTACCGTATCATTTTAGTCGGTGTTCGAGTGATTTAGTCGTAGTGCTAGTCGAAGTTCGTTTTAAGAATACGAAAATTGAAATGACATTAGTGGAAAAAGAAGGGCGCCGTGTGCGTCTGGATATACTTAGCTTATACTTTTTTTTTTTGGGTATATGTATGTGTGTATGGGTGTATATGTGTGCATATATGTGTGTGTGTATGTATAATACCGTATGTATATGGTATATGTATGTATATGTATATATGTATATGTATGTATGTTATGTATATATGTATATATATATATATATGTATATAATTATTTATTTGTTTATGTATGTTTTATGTGTATGTATGTGTATATTTGTATTTTTATGAGTAAATTTCTTGTAGTGCTAAATTTGCTTAATTTTTTAGTTTCTGATTGAATATGTTCTATGTATTAATTTAAGACCGAAAATTTTGTTCAAATTTATTTTCTACTGTAGCTCTTTAATGCCTGTAAGATTAGTATATTTGTATTTTTATGAGTAAATTTCTTGTAGTGCTTTGCTTAATTTTTTAGGTTCTGATTGAATATGTTCTGTGTATTAATTTAAGACCGAAAATTTTGTTCAAATGTATTTTCAGTACTGTAGCTCTTTAATGCCTGTAAGATTAGTTTAAGACGTGCTGTGTTTTTCTTATGGATGCACCACTTTTTGTGTGTGCCACCGATGCAAAGGTGCAATTTCGAAATAAATTGATTGATTGATTGAACAGAAGGGCACTCTGAACGTTGGGCACGAAGTATAGAAAACTTGCATGGTTAAAAAGAAGGGCGCCGCCTACGTTGGGCACGATTTCCGCCTCATTTTTACAAAGCGAGTGCTCTCTTGTATTTCTAGTATCTTTGCCGTTAGCAACTTCAGTTTCGTTGGAACGTAATCGCGCGCGCATCGCGGGGTTCTAAGCGCAGAGCGTAGATGCAAGAAAAGAAAGTTCATTGGTTCATTTTTCTATAATCTTTGATCTCGCATCTTGCTCATCTCAACGTGTGTCCGAATTTCTACATGATTTGCTACATTTCCATGATTTTCATTACAAGGTTCTAATTAAAATTAGGCAGTAAGTTATAAGGCAATTATTATGATGTACAGAATTCTTCAACGATGTAGATGCTATCTTACGTTTCTGTTCATTTAAATATACAGACCTGTCACTGGTTAAATCTGTAGACCTAGGTTAGGCCTAGAACCATTAAAAATTGTATTTAAATTAAAACATTAAATTACTCGTATAAATCAAGATCAATAAGTTATCAATCAACCTCCAAAAAATAGGAGACATAAAAATTGTAATAATTTGCAGACACTTAAAATTTTTTCGAATACCAGCCAAATTGAGTTAATGAAATAGGGCCTATAAATTTTAAATACTATACTGAGCATAACAATATTGTTTAATGGGTTTGCCAGCACAGGCATTTTATATTTAAAAAGTGGTTTGTTTTCATTGACTTCTCCATCCAAATTGTGACATTATTGTTCACAGGAATGGAAAGAAAAAACAAAAGAGGAGAATTGGATGTTGCGATGAAGAAAGTAAGACGTTCCGCTTCGAACATTAACAACGAGTTCGATGAAATGAAACAACTCATCACGGAGATCAAATCAACTTTAGGCAGCTTCCGAGTCAGCAATAAAACTTGGCCTAGGCTTAAGCCTCCTATTCCAAATATTATGGTATCTCATTCTAACGAAATTGAACAAGTGACGTCCTTTTCAAGACAAAATGTGCGAAAAGCCACCGAAAAACGGAAAACAACAACTGCGAAGAAAGTGTTATCAACTAATACAGAATTGAGAAAAGTTCCACCAGGCGAGTTGACCTCTGTTGATCCGACGAGGAAAAGCGGACCGCAAAAGTTTGTTTCTGATGGACTACTTTCGAATTACAGCATACACAGGCCACGTGCATCATTTAATGAAAGATCTAAATGTACTACTAGAACTAACCCATCCCAGAATTCCAGTTCAACAAGACACATTAACGCTGAGCAAACCACCAATCTTCGGAGCAACCAATCCCTTGACAGAAATTTTTCGGGAATAGACGCATGTCATCAATCAAAATCGGAATCATTCGGAATCAGTCGCTCATCGAATATGCTATCGGAAATTGATAAATGTTACGATAAAAAAGATTTCTTAGATTCTAATTTACAAGGCAACGATACGCGGCAGTGTTGCCAAGAGCAACGTTCAGATTCTGTTGAAAATAAGCCAAACATAAGCAGTCGATCTTTAACAAGGCTTTCTATAGTTTATATTATTTTTAAAGAACACTTTTTGTGTCAAACCAGGTTCTTGCAGTCTCTAATCATTATCATATCGATCATGGTTTTCCGACTAATTTCTTTATTGTGCAATTCAATAGAACGACAGACTGATTGCCAATTGTTAGGGGGAGCTACAAATCAATGGAACTTTGGTTTGAAGTTTCGACATACGGCACCTCCGCCAACTTAGGG